GTCTTCAATCCTTAAAAAGTGCTTGTTGGACTTGTGCTTTCATTCTTCAAGTCTTTGGAGAGTGTAACTGTACTTCCTTAAGAGAAAATAAGAAGCGTTTAATGTAGGAATGTGCAAACCACCAGACCTACACCATGAATAATAACATTTTTTCCCCCAGTTATTCTAGGATGAATAACTTTTAAACTATTCTTGAACGTGAAAAAAAAAAATCATTTGAACCAGATGCTTACTTATTCTTATCTATTTTAGAGAACTAATTATCCCTGTTGTTGGTAGTGCTAAAGCTTACAAAATTGCTTCCATCTTTGAATTACTATAATTAAGACAATAACTTCCACATCTAGTTAACATTGCTGCGCAGCTGGTGCATTCATTGACATGCAGATTTTGGATTTTGTAAATTTTCTGCCATTGTGAATAAAAATTTTAAATACTTATTTTCATTTCCAAAATGTCTGTTTCTCATAAAGAAGTCTTTATGAAGCAAATCAACTGAAACCAAACTCCTGTAACATCAGAGGAGAATCTAGTTAAATTTGTTTAGGTGATGGTACATTTTAGGAAAATATGTAACCACAGATAGCTTTTGTAGGTGTGATTGCTCTAAATTTTGGATCCCATTTTGTAAGGACTCCCTGAATTAAATGTCAAGTCTGGAACAAGTCTGATGCTGGAATTCTGAAATTTTACTTTGAAAGGAGTTATTAGTTAATGCAAGAGTTAATCTGGCACTCTGGCAACCTGAGGTGGTTTACAAAACTAGAACTCTGTAATTAAAAATCACTAATACAAGTCATATGTGTTGATGATTACTAACCAAAGTGTGATTTAAACTGTAATTTTTTTGTACATCTTTTTGCCTCAAGTCAATTTGTACCAAAGTCTACGGGAAGACCCGTGCAATCGATGCTAATCTCGTTTACTTCCACATTCAGCAGCTTCAACTATGAGAAATTTTTCAAGGCCTATAAATTTAGTTGAGAAACTTCCTTATTATTCACTTGTGATTATCAGCGAAGCTATGAAATTGCTTGATAGTGGTGGTGTTTGGTTTTTTTTTTTTTTTTGTTTTTTTGGTGGCCCTTGGTTTCATTACATGAATGCCTCATGGATGTTAATTAGTTTTGCTCAGTGAGTTAAGAGATATCCCCTGAGTAAACTGCTAAAATAAAGAATCAAATATTGATTTATGCTGAAACTGAAACATCGATTTCTTTTTCAGACTGAAAATGCATATGGAACCAGGTGTACTAATGGTGCTCATTTTAGAGGCTTGACATGGAGTTGTCTGTTGGTGCAGGGTGTAGTTGAAGAGCAGCCGGGCTGCGTGCGGCTCGCAGGTACACTACCAAATGTTCTCATAAATAACGCTGGCCAAGGTTGCTGGCTCCAGAGCACATTGCAGTGGGTCCAAAACCAGTGTCCAGTTACTGGACCCATGTCTGATATCCCGCAGTGTTCAGTTTCAAGAATGTGCTGGGAACGCTTCAGTACACGTAACAAATGTTATTTTTACTGCAGGCAGAGAAGTTAGCTCTAGAAATAGAAAAAGCACAATTTCCGTAGCGATGGCAAGAGGCATTGTTTCAAATGTTTCGATATAAACTACCCATTTTGCTGTGTGTGTTCGGAATTAAATCAAGTTGCTCTTGTACCTTCGTAGATTTCTGAACTTGAGTTGGGCAGCGTGGGTGTGCGACCTTGGTGGCAGCAGGGGCACTTTCGTGTTGACAGCCCTCCGAAGCACTCCGCTGGCCGCAGCTCGACCCTGCAGCTCCGGGCTAGTACAGAAACTCTGCGCTGTTAAAATCGTGTTTTTGCCTAAACTGCAAGACCTGGAGGGGATTTGTTCTCTGAAATTATGAAGTGGGATCTGAGGAAAAAAAAGGTTAATGAGACCCATACCAAATTGTGAGAGGAAAGGAAGGAGGGTCAGAGTCAGGATTGCCTTGCGTCTGATGAAAATAGCAAAACTTTGGCTTATAAACAAATAATAATGCTTGGAGTCTCTCTGGACTGCTTAAGAACTTTCTTTTTTTTCTAGTTATAATACTCAGAGATATATAGGTAACATTTTCCCTTTCTACTTTCTCCTTCTACTCCTGTTTTTTATGTAGATTGAATTATTTTTAGGATCAGGAAACATATAGTATTGTTTGGAGAATTTGTGAACAGTAATAAACAATAATTAATACGATTTAAAGAAATGATAATATGATCCCCTCATTATCATTGTCCTTGTAGCTCAGTATGGAGCCCAGTACCGTCTGTCTGGCTAAAGTGCATCTTCCAGGAAATAATTTTTTCTTCATTTGAACTGTTCCTGCCAGCTCTTAAATTGGCTAGTTTGAATTTCTTTGGCACAAAGCCCTCGTTAAAGACAGCTTTACTTCTTTCATATTTAGCTGTTCTTCTTTAGGAGGTGCTCAAACGCTGTCGTAGTGACTTCTTAGGAGAGGTCACCCAACTGAATTCTTCATGTTGCCTCCTCCCTTCCCCCTTTTTAATGTTTTCAAAACTACCAGAACTTCATCACTGTTGTTCTGTAGTTTCTCTGGGATTCCAAGATCTATTAAAAGAACTGTGTATATACCCAGAGAGCTCTCTTCAACCAGTAGAGAGTACGATTGTATTTGTCTGCTTATTTTCCTCATAATATAACATAGATTCAAGAAATTAGAAATTCTGTTTCAGCCCCTGTGTTTAAGCTTTGCCTTATTGCCAACACACATGGTTCAGAGAAATGGCTAAAGAGGCCTAAGTGATGTTGCTCCTTCCTAGGTTAGAGATCCAGGGAAACTGGAAGTTATCCAAGTCTGGGAGTGTAAAGAGAATAATGTTTTATTTCTAACTTGGGGATAGGCTTTCACTCAGAGCCATCCCCTCCACTGGGTACCTTTGTTAAACCTGACCTATTTTAACGGGTCTCAGCTGTGCTTGCTCTCCAGCCACTTAACCCTTTCTCTTTTGGTTCCTCATCTTTGCAAGTGCAGCAGAGAAAATGGGTTTGTAAAACTTGGTGCAATTTGGCAAATGCAGGCAAGCAGTTAAAAAGCTCTGAGTTTGGGACAGTTCATGTTCCCCGTTATGCCGTGATTTAAATATACCAAGTTTCCATAGTGAGCTCCAGACGTTGTTGTGGTAAAGTGTATTTTAGAAACTCTTTTTAGCAAAGGGATAGGACCATAGGGGATGGAGCTCTGTTTTCTTATTGTACTAGTGTTTTATATTGAGCGAGATCTTAAATTCTTACATTGTAATTTGTATTAAAATATGCAAGGTTTTTTTTTATTTCTTACATAGTAATATATATTATATCAGAATACTTAGGCTTTAGTATTGTGAGAAAGATTTTCTGGTAATATAAACATAATGATTATCTGGTATTAATATTGGAATTGAGTATTCCATTTTTTTCAACAGTTACTGGAATAGAGTAAATGAAAACATATTAAAAAAAAATCCATGAACTGAGATTTGAAGCTTCTTAAAATCAGGCTGTTATTTTTTCCTTACGATGTACACAATGACAATCAGTTTTTGGATGGACTGTTGTTGAATAATACATGAATGTAAATGGAGATTGTATGGAATCAGTTGGATAATTTTGGGGAATGCTTTAAGTACACTGAAGAGCCTGAATAGCAGTTAATGCTGCTTCAACTTTATTACTGTTTATTATAGTTGGCAGTTCAGTTGTATTTTTTTCTGCATCGAGTTCTCTAGTTTCCTATAGAACAGCAATAAAAAAAGCTTACAAATAATAATAGTCAGATGCACTGTATCCTGTGGCAGCAAAATATTTTTGCATTAAATTGTAGTTTTTGGCAGTCTGAGCGTGTTTATTGTTGGGCAGCTCCAGAAGATCAGCCGGTGCAGGAGGGACCGAGGCAGACGTCAGCGTGCGGAGCTCTGCAAGCAGCCAGGCTTTGCATGTGCCTGCGGTAACCCAACGTGGAGCTTCTCAGGACACCTCCGGAGCTCCTTGGACCCGCAAGCTCCTTGTACAGCCTTTGCTCAGCCTTCCCCGCTCCCATCTATTCTCCCACTCCCTATCAAGACCTATATGATTTTAGTTACCTGTTTTGAGAACTGCTGAAGTAAGCAGAAATGTTTCTGCCATCTAGAAGGCAAATCAGAGGTGCAATAGTGCTCTTGTTCACAGCTCCCATGATTTAAAAATGTTTCCCTTGACCATTACAATTACTTTCATCCTCTTTAGAGCTAAATGTTTGCTACTAGCAATCGCAGGCTGGGAAGCAAATGGAGGAACACTTCCTGCTCTTAATTTGGCTAAGTTCTGAAACTCCAGTGGGGAGAAAAGTAAATCTGAGCTGCCTCATACGGAAGTGTCACTTTCTTTGTTGGAAAAAAGTCATGGCAGTAAGTGGAGCTGATTCAGAGGGCAGAGGGCTTGTCTGAAACTTGCTTTGCAGAGTTCTCTATCAGTATTGCCACATGTGTTTGCGAAGATTCTTGAATCTCAAGTTTTAAGTTTTATTAGTAATCCTGCTCATCTGCTGAAGTGTGCTAACACTTTGCTTCATAATTTTAACTCTACCCTAAGGAATATGCTCTGGTTTCTTATAGTAATAGCCAATAAATGTAGCAGATTTATTTGCTAGGTTGGATACGACTAAGAATATCTGAAGCACTCTGGGGTATTTTACAGTTTTCTGCTTTTTGTGTGGTTTGTAAAGCATGAGTTGCATATATTTTGTGAATCTGGAATGTGTTGTCAGCTATCTCTAGTGGCCTGTGCAGCACAAGATACAGTTTTTATATTGCTTCCAGCATACTAAAAAACTTGTTGCTGACAAAGTATGTTTCAGCCCTGGCTGTTTACTTCTTTGCAGGATCACTACCGAGAGAGTGTGAGGAAATACCGACCTAAACACTGAAAGATTCCTCCTTAGCTGAAAAACATCTGCAGGACCTGCCTTCAGGTGCTTTTGTTCATCTGACCATGCCTTATAATTTATTTTTCTTTCTTTCAGCTGTCGGACAAGCAACAGAAAGAGTTTGATTGTAACATCCAGCACATCTCCAACTCTCCCGCGACCACATTCTCCTCTTCATGGACATGCAGGTAACTCTCTAGGACTGCTTTACCTGGGAATCATTAGGAAAAATATCAGTGTTCATTGTAGTGAGTTTGAACATATTGATACTCTACATCAAAATACACCCTTTGAAACTTATTATGACTACAGTTTTTTACCTTTTCTAACTTGTAAGAGAGTCCTTATAGTTTCAAAATAAATATTTCTGTGTCCTCATCTGTTCTACACTTTCTAGTTTGCTGCTATATCTGTCCTCCACTCTTTCTGAGGAATTCAGTCCTCTTATGTCCTGCAAAAGAATCTGAGATGGAGAACAAAGTAAAATAAAATTCAATAAATACATTGAAGTGAATATCTTATTTTGAATCTCTTAGCATGGTCAATTTGTGCCAGTGATTTAACTGCAGTTCTCATGAGAAGGAACACCCTGCTTGTTTCTGTATCCCTCTGGCAGCCAGTCAGCCGTGCAGCATGCCATCTTATGGTCTCTCTATCTGCTACTTAGCACAACCTTGAGATGTTTAGGATTCTTTTCTTTTTTTTACATTACTGCCAGTTTAACCATGGCAGCAACTGGGAAACACTCATTTCAAGAGCACATGGGCAACTGCTTGTTAGTCATCGAGGTGAAGTGTGTGGAGATGTACTTTCTATAGAAAAAGAAAGAACGATTTTTCAGCCTGCACTGGTTACGGATTTTCAGAAAGGGTCACACATGCAGATTCAACAGCTTGCCTGAACAGCATGTCTCCTTGGTGTTTTTATTGATGAGGGAGGTAGATGATGTGTGACTACATTGTTTTCAATATTTCAAAATGCCAGAGAAGATGTTTGGGCTTCAGGTAAGGTCCTAATGGGCACCAGTCAGTAGCAAGAAACAGCTTGAACATTTGTGGCACATGATCCACAGTGGAGCGTGTCTGGAAGCACATCACTGTTGCAAGTAAGACAAGTAACTGTTGTTTTCATTATAATCAGACTTTCCTCCTCCTACATGGCAGTATGTTCTGAAAATACTTTCTGGAAATTGAAACTAAGGATAATGCTGAGAAAGAACAGCAAATTGATAGTAGCTCAGCTAGAAGGAACCATCTGTTTCTATTTGCAGAACATTGCATCTTGAGAGGTGACATCCAGCCTGTTGAAAGGAAAAAGACCAAAGTTATTGGTCAGAGATGCCCATGAAATCCTTAACCGCTCTAAGCTTTCATAAAACTTTGTCATATTTGCTTGAGATTCTATAAAGCGCAGCAATGGAAGGCTGAGAAGTTACTTTAATGGCATTGTTTTATTAAAATGGCCCATGATTTTCAAATTAAAATACTAACAAAATCATAAAAGTAGTATATTAAAAACATTTTCTTTTTCCTTCAGCATCTCAGATAAAACACAAGGCTGAAAATGTGCATAGGGCAATTCCCTTTCACTTCAAGCTCACTTGATTCCGTTGAGTGTGATTATGATAGCGATAGCTTTGTAAAAGTTGGTTTCAACAAGGCATTTTTCTTGGTAGAGATTCTCCACTTAGTTACGTTGTGCTCTTTTCTTTGTTCTCAGCATTGATTCTAAATTAGCTGCACAAGCCTGTAACTAAAAGTGTTAGAGAAAAATGCTCCTCAGAATATGGAAGAAGCGTCCTTGCTTGAGAGATTGCAACAAGATGTTGACATGATCATTGCTCAGAAAACAACTGCAGAAATGTTCACAAAACAAACATTTATATTTTCTCTTGATTTGCTTTTCTCCTCTGTCTATTTAAAAAACGAAAAACTACCCTTAGTGGTTTTGATGCTGTCTCAGGCTTTACAAACTTATCTTTTATTAGAAGTATGCGGCTGTCTTCTAGAAACTGAAGTAACTAATCAGTGGTATGCCATCTTTCTTCAGCAGTAATTGAAAAACATACCCATTTATTTGTTGCATAAGGGATTTAAAACTATTAATTAAAAGGATATCCTTTGTGACCTCCAAGAATAGCCAGTAAAGCATAGGAAGATAAATTACTTGTAATTTGAGTTCTCTACCAGTACTATATTTAGAGTCTTCCCTGAGAAAAATAATTTATTCAGGAGACAAAAGTAGATGAAATTTAGAGTAGAGTCACAAATATTTTCTTAAGAAATATCATATATGAGATGAGAATTTGAGAACAGGCTGTGATATTTGTTTAGTATTTGAACAGAATCTATCAATCTGTTTGTTCAGGTTCATACGCTGATAAGTTACTAAGAAATGCTGGAGCCTCTCTGTGGCCTCTTTTGTCTTTAACACGTTCTTAATGCCTATTCTGAACGTCTCTTATGAATCAAAGGAACAGCAAGCATGCAGAGAAATCAAGGAGGCTTTCTGAAATTATTCTGTTCAGAAACCACTCTAAAATTGAGTCCTGTATGGCAGTAGCCTCAGGAGTTACTCTTCTGTGCCTAACATAAAAGTCAGTGGGTGTGATACAGCACAGTTGACTGGCCATCAGGGAAACCTGCCTCCTAATGAACGCTGATCCAGGCAGATACACTTATTATCTGAAACAGCATCCAGATAAAGTGCCAGGCAATTTCATATCTTAGAAAATTTAGAGGAAAAGTAATACTTAAGAGATCTCAACATTTGAGATGAAAGTAAATCCAAACTTCTGATTCAAGGACACTTAATGGATTTGAAGTGTGCTAATTCGGTTTTCAAACTGTATGAAATAGCATTTTCCAAAGTAAGCTGGGACCTTGGTATAGAAACCTACTGCTTGTTAACTTCATGAGAAAGTCACTCTGCTTGTCTAATCACCCAAACTTGGATTGAAGTGACCAGTTGTAGGAGTACAGGTTTGAAAATCCTCCCTTTATTCTAAATTCTTTTTCTTTCAAAATCAGAGGAAAAAAAAGGTCTACAAGTACGTTCCTTACGTTTTGTGGGTTTTTTTTGTATTTGTTTGAATCCATTTTTGAAAATCTGAAAATTAGAGAGAAGGTGTGCGCAGTGCACCTGTTATAACATACCCATCATGAGGGTGTTACTAAGTCACCATTAGATAATATTTTAAAGCGAAAAGCTTAAAATCAGTCAAAGAAAAAACATCATCTTTATAATTCAGTAAGAAAGAAATAGGTTCTTACAGCTGGATGACTGAAGTTCAGGCTATTTTAAAATTTACTGTCCACAACTGTAAGGTAGCCAACTCGGTCGCTGGCTTCCAGTGAAGACACTTGTCACTGCTGGGACCTCTGTCCTGCTCCCATCTGTAAGGGCAGGTGGAGGGAGCTGCTCACAGGCAGTGCTGTGGTACTGAATTAAATTATTCTGCTCTTTCACTGCAAGTTCAGTTTCACCTTCTGGCAGAAAAATGGCTATTACTAAGGCTTCTATTTATTTATTATTTTTAGAGTGGGCAGAGTACGTAACATACCACTCTAGATCCTGCCCTTTGTTACCAAAGCTGCAGTTCATCAGCATTTCATGTGTGTGATCCTCGCATGGTGTGAGAACTGTACGTGAGACAGGTGGTACACAAGGTGCTTAAACTTTTTTGGACATTTTAAGCTTTGCGTGCACTGGAAGGCAGCTAGTTCTGTACTATGCAGCAAGATCTTTAGCTGCTTGTGTTAATATTCAGCAAATAATGTTAGTGTGTCCTAGGTAGAAGACCTTAACAACTTCATCTTTTGTTTATTTTTTACTTATTTATTTTTGCAAGTCTCAGAAACAGGTTTTACAACATGGTTCTAGTGTAAGTTTTTGGACTCATTACTTATCTGATGAATGTCATGTCTGTAGGTGATAGCTGAGACTTTCACCTAGCTATTGCCTGTAAGATCCAGTTTTGTACTTTTGAGGGCAGCGGATGTACAAATACTTTGGCTGCATCCTTCTTCCTGTGTCCGGAAAATGTAAAGGTTCATGCCTGAATTATTAACGTTCATGTAACGGTGTTGATTTACCTAATGGATAATAATTTTGTGTAACAGTCTCCCTTGAGACAGAGTCCTTTCAGGTTCAGTAGTAGCCAACTATAACCCTTGAGCAACAGGGGAATTTACCCTTGCTAACACAATAAATAGGGTTTCGATCAGCCTTGGTGAGTGAGACCATTCTCTTATTAAAATTCCTTCAACTATAGCAGATGCAGCAGTACTGGGAAATTTTAGGGAAAAGTGGTAATTCCCCTTCTCCCTGTTGTTGTTTTAAAAGCTTCACCCAGACTTGAATTGAGTAGAAAAACTAATTGCTTTTCATTTTAAAACTAGAAGCAACTCACAGGGGATCCAATTAAAATTCCAGTATCTGGAAGGAAATATGCCATATAAATCTGAAAAAGTAGTTGCTTAAAAATTAGTAATACCTGTGTACCACATTGCGCAGGCTCAGAAGAGATCAAACACCCACATACTTAATTTCAAAATTTAAAAACTGTCGTTACCCAATTTGCTTAGTTATTCTGAAATCCTATTTTGATCATAATCTGGAAAGTTTACAGAAGATTGATGAAAATATAAAAAGGCAATGACAGTTCATTGCTTGTTTATAACAGCATCAGGCAACGGGCTTTTTGTTCAAAAAGATCATCTTGACACAGTAGTGTTTGTCGGCTGTTAAGCTTGAAAAATGGGAAAGCAAAGACCAAGCTTCCCACCAAAACTGACAGCTCTCCTTGCTTTGTTAAAAGATCTGCATAACCACGGGAAAGCCTTGTTCGTGCTGCGTTTCCTCCTGACCTAAAATGATCCTTCAGCTATCTGCTAGCAAATAAATGGTGACCCTAACTCTAGCTGTGTGCTGCTACCAGGACAGGTGTGTTTTGCACCATTGAGTTGTTCACTTTGCGGCTATCGTAGCCTCCTTCTGTCTTTCTTGTAAGCTTGCAGTGCCATCTAGACTGTCAAACCACTCAGTCTTCCCTTAGTTCAAAAGCAGCATAATGTCTATTTTTCCACTGTGACCGTAAGAATTAAAATGAGTACAAGCTTAATAAATGAAGCACCACAAGTCATCTAGTTATTGATTTCTGATCACTTTGTCTCCTTCCCACTTGGGATATACTGGGAATGAGTTAAATGGTATCCAGTTTGGAGTGAAGACTCGCATTGTGTTATGTTACACTGTGAACTCATTGTCAGTTCTTAACTAATATTTAATAACAAAGCATTATAATACAAAAGAAAAGTGAGCCAAAGGGAAACGAACCTGTTGCTCAAGCCTTTTGTTTTTAGTTCAGTTTGCTCCTGGTGCAGCAGATTGTGAAGTTGTCTGGAATTCACTTACCTCTCCAGTTCTCTCATCACCCCTTGACACATGTTAGATCAGCCTGAGGCTGCTTTAATCTCAACCAGCTGCTATTCTTCTCCTTGTAGACTCGTAGACCAGATGGAGTTTGCTGGCCTGTGCTGTGGCCATCCTCATACCCCCGAAGGCATCAGCTTGTTCTCCCTCTCCTCCTCCCTACCTGCCCAGGCATGCTTGCCAGGTGTGCACACACCTTGCTCACAAGAAGTTATGGGAGATGCTAGTGCAGATTTTTGTGAACTGTTTGTGTAGCTGAAGTGTGAGTGAATGTTACCTTCAACTGAGCACAGTGCTTATATTCTGTTTCTGCTCAGTGTAACAGTTAAATTGTACCAATAACTTGGGTTGAAATTAATGCAAATTAATTATAAGCTTCAGTACAGTGCTGGATGGGACCGTAACCTCGCAAACAGTGCTGACTTGGGGGTGAGCTGGGCACCTAGTACTTCTCCCGAATTTTCCCTGTGCAGATGACTCATCATAGACATTTCACTTTTCAACATGACTTTGAAAATAAATCCTTTTATGTGAGATCTGAATTTGAAAACATTTCTGGTGACTGCAGTTAGGTACCTGGCAGTGCATTGCTTGTCCACTATTTAGTTTTCCTGCTCTTATTTTAATGTTATTTTATTGTCTGTACACAAAGAAAGTGCTGTTGGCATGTGTTTATGATGTGTAGTTTTTCTTTTGTGCTTGTATTAAGGATCTGAAAGAGCAAACCACTTAAGAGTATGCCTGATAGAAAGCATATTCGCTGATACGAAGCTTCTAATTCATCCACAACTTCAAAGGTTTCTGCAGTTAGTCTGTAAATTATTCTGGCTTTCAGAAGGGCTTTCTATGAAATAGTTGCTTTTTACTGTGAAATAAAATACATTGCAATATACCACTTACCAACCATATGCTTACACATCATATGACAAAGCCCAGGAAAAGTATTCTTGTGCCAAGTGAAAAAGTGCAAACTGTTATTTTTTCCTCGCTGTATAAATTCACTGAAACTTTCATTTTCAAGCAAGTAGTATTATATCAGATGGTAGTTTGGGAGAAGGCTGCTATGTTATAGCCTGATCATCTTACATGTATGTAGTCCTTTTATTATCATGTGCAGTTCCTTTGGTATGTCTTTTTTTTCCTCAGTGAATTTTGCATTCAGCCTTTATTTACATTGTGAAGAAATAGTTTCATACGATTTATTATTCCTGAAACTATCATTGATGTAATTTCTAACTCGGATTTTTCATTGAGAAGTGTTTGGAAAAGCTTGTATATAGAAATTATTGTAAAATATTAAGAGACTAGATTGTGTATGTGTGATACATTACTTACCTGAAAGCAAGAAGGAAAATATAAACATTAAATTTAAAAGGAGGGAAAATACGGATACATCCGTATGAGAACATTTCTTTAGCAAACTAATGCTTACATGATCAAAGACTCAAAGCTCCATATTTTCAATTATTTGCGACTACGACTTGCAGTGGAAAGTCTTTCTGCTCAGTCCGTTTGTTGCAAATGTGAATTAAATGGTTTTGGGTGTTTTTTGTTTTGGTTTGGTTTGTTTTTTTACTTTCTCAAACAGGTAGCAGCCCTTTGGACAGTCCCAGGAACTTCTCTCCCAATGCACCTGCTCATTTTTCCTTTGTTCCTGCCCGAAGGTAAGACAAGATCTATTTACTTTGCACTGGCAAACAAGTAGTCTATATACTTTTATTTGGAAATGGCCTATGGGTAAGAATTTTTTTTTATGGTATTCTACTTTCTGTGATGTGTTTTGTTTTGCTCCTTTGTTGTTTTGCTTTGTTCTTTTTTGGTTTGTTTTGTTCTTTTTTTGTTTTGTTTTGTTCTTGTTTTGTTTTGTTCTTTTTTGTTTAGATCTTGACAGCACCCAGAACACATTAGTTAGTTTTCGGACCTAGAAGAAGATAAAGTAAATTTAGTAGTTAATACTGCCTAGGGAAGGGAGACAACATTCTCCCAGATGGATGACATACAGGGCATGTGATACAACAAATAATTTAGTCATAATGGCATTAAAATCAGTTATGATTAGGATGATCATATCTTAGTTGTGGTCTTAGCTGCTCTTCTCACTGAATAACTGAGGTGTATTCTAAGTGTACTGATCTTCTTTGCTATGTCTCCACAAAGATGTAAACATACCTAAAATTAGGTGTGCACAACTGTGTGTGCATTCATTCACCACATTCTGTCGTGGGCATTGGTGTCAAGAGTACGTTAATGCTCTAATGAGGAAAGTGGCTGATAATTGAAATTGCAAGTCTCGAACAACTTCGAGAAGAGCAGCATTGAGAGACGTGATGGTGAAGCTATCATCAGTCCTGCAGTGAACGCTAGAGAAGTGCTGGTCATGCCGTGTATCAGACCGGTGGAAAGAAATGTGATACTATAGTGACGAATTTAGTGTAAGGAGTAGGATGGAAAGAACAAAGACAGCTGGGAGAAGCAGACAAATGGTGTATTAATGTTGTACCCCAGCAGGTAGGCAGAAATGGATAATGGTACAGAAAGTTAAATTTTGTAGAGAAATAACAAACAGGAAAAAAGAGATCCCAAGCAGGGTTTGGGCATAGTAGCAGATTATTAGATTCAAGTGTGAGGAAGATATTTTTGATTTGACAAACTCTGCCGCAGCTGAAAAAAACCTAATCTGTGTTAAAATGATCTGAGAATGGGAAACGTGTGATCATCTTGAGAAGAAATAAGTTTTCTGAGAATGACAGGTTTAGCTTGAGGACTAGTTAGAAAAAGGATAGGCCTCAAAACTTCAAAGAAGAATAAAGGGTTAGGATTTGACCAGATAAGGTACACCCTTTATCTGAATGGCAGGTAAATCCTGGAGCGTTTCTCCATTGAGGTGATTTGCTAGAAGACCTGGTGTCCTTGAATACCGTTTGAAGTAGACTTTGGTATTCAGGTCTTATGTAAGAAAAAGCTTTATCATAGCCTGTGAAATGTGGTAGACTGGATATGTATTTTCCTGTTGCCTCAGAGGGAAAAATTGGCTCCCGCTGAAACAATTCAAATGGACTCACAGCATCCACCTTTATTTTTAAAGAGGTATTTGAGCTTGATCTGGGTGTATTCTGCAATTTCTGTTGAAGTCAACTGAATTTTTACAAGGTTTCACAGTATCTGGAGTTCTGAACCCTGGAATACAGGAGGAAAGTTGCAGCTGAAACCATTGTCAAAACTTAAAATAATTTTTCAACATCATGTTTCAACTTGATGTTTCAGTATCAGTGCTTTCTAAAATTCCAAGCAGAAAACAAATGTTTTAATAATAAAACTCTGAAGAGTGCCCTTTCATACTTTTCCACGTTTTAAATCTAATTTTTAAAGAAATAGACGAATAAAGGTTAAGCCTGTCCTATCAAATACTGTGCTTCATTTTACAGCATGTGTGTTGCTTTCTATACTTTTTCTGTCATTTAAAAGAACACTTAGCGCGGCTTGTTTTAGAAACTTGTTTCTATTTTCTGCTTGCATTACACCCTCAGTAGCTATGCCAGCAGTACCAATACGTATTTATGAGATTATGACATAGCAGTATCAAAATAACTCCTATATGATTAAGTAACTGCAGATGTGGTGCTCTGTTACCCCAGACAAATGGATATTTCACTGTACCCTTTTTATTGGTGCTGTGTGGGTCTTAAGAGATGGTTTGTACCTGATTTCTTCCCTTCGCCATCACAGAAATTATTTGTTGCTGATTTTCTGCCTTTTATATTTGGTGTAATTCCTTCATTTATGATCTTGTTTGGACATTGTGATTTCCATTCTTTCGTTATAGCCCTGTGATGAGTTGATCCTTGAGACAGAATAGGAAGCACATTTGGAAAACTCATTTTATTGTAAAGCCAATTTCAGTACAATATACTGCAAGACTGTCCTTAGTTTGACAAGTGATTAATTGTAAATCCCTTGCTAGACACCCTTTCAATGATTGTGTCATAGCCACGAAGTTAGCACGTTCAGGAATCCTCCTGGTAGAGCAGGGAAATGTATGGTTAATTCTGTCCCTATTCACTAAAACTGATCTTAGTGGAATACCAGAAGATGACGGTGTTTTTCAGAAATCACATGTGCACCTTTTTCTTCTCCCTCTCTCATTATCATTGTACAATTTCTTCCATACAGCCACGGGCACAGAGCAGACAGGTAATGTGTATCCTATTGCTGTTGTTTGTGTATGTGTATGAACTATACTTCTGTGGAGCTGAGCCTGTGTCCCTAACAAGTTCATGCTGTAATAACCCCATATAGGCATTCAGCTTCTATTCTTTGGTAATCAAAACAGGAAATTTTTGCATTTTGGCTTAAAATGATAAACAGGTAGTGCTCTGGAGAAGATGTGTTGTTCTTCTAGCACCTTCCTGTTTTGAAATTGATCTATTGTTCATTGAATAGCATTTAACTATCTCCTTAATTAACTCATTAAAATGTCATTTTAAAGGCAAAATTTGTTGTTCGCATGTTTTTATTGTGCTAGCAAATGTTATATTATAAATAAAAGACCTAAAAATTTCTTTCCAAGTATCTTTTCCTGAAGCAATAATGCATGAGGTCTCTGTAAAAATACGTTTATTAACAAAATACTGAAGTACCTTTGTAATGTTTTGCATAAATGAAGAAGGAATTTTCTTTTAAAGTTTTTTCCCATTCCCTTTGATTTCGAAGATTTCTACACTTGTCCCACTTCTTTCTGCTAGAATAGAGCTGATATGCATTGTCCTGACTGCTTAGCACATTGCTTGCCTAGGTTGCATCAGCAGAAAATAGCCCAAGCATGAAGAGATATTCCGTAATTTTCTAATTAAGAAAGACTTTTTTGGTTAACTTTGTCAAAATGAAAATTCTGAAGTGATTTCAATACATAATTTAGGCAACTCAGTAAAAAAGGGATTAGGCTTTTCTTTTGCAAAAAATGACTGACTTGTGTGTTCCTGTCTACTGTTTGAGAGGACAGGAACATACTGTTAAGCTTTGGGACTGAGAATCCAAACTGAGATTGAATCGTTGACCTAAACATTTCCCCAGTACTCCTTTATGTTACAAGAAACTGAAGATCATTGAAGTTTGATGTTCAGTCACTGACCGCATCATGCAGCGACTTTGTCATTCTGTCATTTGTTGTTTTTTGAGGATAAGAAAGGAATTTAATTTCTTTTGGAATTTTTTGAGATTGTTCTTTTACATGTAATTGTCTTGCCAAAGAAAATATCACCTGTGGCTAAATGGGATTTAGCTATAACATCGGCATGCAATAGAAATCTGCATTACAACTTGATGTTATTTTTTCCCTAGTGCATGAAGCATGAATCTTTTTAAAAACTCTCTTGACGTAATATTCTTTCAGTGATGTAGAACAGTGAGTTTATTTTCCTCTCATCCTAAGATAGATGACAAAGAAGAGTCATGTGTATCAGTGCCTGAAAATAAAAGGAACTAGATCTGGAAAAAATATAAACAGACGTTTATGTCTGAGTGTGCACTGAACTTTTTTTTGAAGATGAGTCTTCATGGATGTGGATAGTGGGATGAGAGATATTACTGTGAAGATGATAATAGTTGAGTTTTTTTATAAGCACTAAGCACTATTTCACACCTGTACCAAACATCCTATTTTATAATGCACTTGCATAAATGTACTGTATCTACGTGTACCAAAAACCCCCAAATCTTTTCAAAGTAAGTTAGAACAATGAACTGCTCTAATTCAGCTTCACTTTGTGACCAGTTACTGATGATCTGCTGTAATAAAAGAAACAAGCAGAGGGAAACTGATGTGAGGAAAAGACTTAACATCCATCCCATTGTGCAACAGGCAACGTTTGTCCGCTATAGCACACTAAATGCATGCGAGACTGGAATGAAATCAGAGGCAGAAAAAGTGATGGGAGACTGATCTGAGTAGCTCTTTTTTGATCCTCTCTGAGGTGGGTTTTGGGGAGAGAAGAGAGTTTCAGGGAGGGCAATGCACATTCTTCTCAAAGCAGTTGTATAGTTCCTCGGTTTTGACGTTGGTAAAACAAGACCTTTTCTGTAATATCTCCAGGATGTTTTGGCTATTTTCCCTGAGGGTCATGTTTCTTTGGCTATGATAGCGAAATAACTACAAATATTATATTGACTGGAGGAGAAAGAGACTCTACGTGGAATTTCTGTGATTTCTGTCTCCTCTGTATTTCGAGTGGACTCATCAGCTCTGCTCAGATCGGCTGTTGTGGATTTAATTCACCAGCTGTGTCAGGGGATGCAGTAGGCAGAATGCCCTCTGACGAGAAATGAGACTGCTCTCAGTTGATTCTTGATCTGATAGGATTTTTCCCCTCAATTTTAAACTTTATTTGACATGGAACTGCATGAGTAATAATCTTAGGCATGACTGTCTTTTTCAAAGAAGTTTGAAATGAGCTGATTTCGTTTGTCCATTCTTGAAACTTCAGTTTTTGCATGACTGGTAATATTTGCAAAGCATCTACTTAGTGAAGGAATCTGATGTCCATTTGCTTTATCTTTTCCAAGGTCACTTAATTTTGCTCTTAAAACTTACCCTAGCTGCTTTTTCGCAAAGGTCATTGTAAATAAGATACCTGATTTATCTGAGTAACTTGAGACTTTAATAAAAACGTGTGGTTGAGAGATTTGAGGGAGGAAAATGCTTATTTCCCCCAAGTATTAGCCACGATATATCCCTGATAATAATCTCCCTTACTTCTTTTCCCCAGAACGGATGGACGCCGCTGGTCCTTGGCCTCCCTTCCTTCCTCTGGATATGGAACAAACACTCCCAGTTCAACAGTTTCAGTAAGTGACACAGACTTTTTCAAACAATTCAGTTTGTACAAACACAGCCTAACAAATCAGCTTCTGAGTCTACTAAAATATCTGATTTTTCTTCATTGTTTTGCTAACATTATTTAATATACTAATTATTTAAAAAATTATTTTTAATTATTTGTTCTGCTGCTTTTCTTCCATTTCCCAGCTCCTATCATCTTGCACTTTGCCTTTAGCATTGGTGAAATCCCAGTGCAGCACTTGGCTCGACTGATCAGTTGAGAGGCACCATATGTCAGAAGTGGCAGGACTCTTAAGATAGTGCATAATTACTAGCAAGCTCTCAGCTTTTTTGTAACTGGGAAATGAAATTATTGTCTGCTTTCAAGTTCTTAGTATGAAAACCTCTGCTAACTGGCTAGCAGAAAGAAAAACTGATAATCCATATCTGTTACTTAACTCCAATAATTTGAACCTCCTAATGAAACTTTTCAGCTCTCACACATGTCATTGGAAAGGCTGGCTGCAGCTTGAGTTCTGTACTTTCAAAAGGCTAGTATGTCATTAATACCAGTAAGGAAGGAGCACCGTGTTAACCCTGCTAACTCTCAGATACTTGAAACAATGAATCTTATTATTTAGTTTATGCAAACTAGATGTTGTGGTTATCCACATAACAAACTTGCAAAGCCCAGTATGAAAAAATTAGAAATGTTAAGGCTACCTCTACAGGCTTAATGTAACACGCTTTTGTATGTGTGTTATGGTGAGTGTCTTCAACTGTCAACTGTGTGGTCACATATCACTGCCTCTTTCCATAACACTTCTGTGATCTTTTCGTTTTGTATGTACTATTTAGAGTATGTTTCTAATAACTGTAATACCTGCATTAATTAGGACTCAGTATTCCACGTTATGCAAATCTTACACTGAATGCAGTATCACTGTTTCCCTCATGAGCTGTTCTATTAAGTTAATCCATGAACTTTCTAGTGCCTGTCAAACACAAATTTGTCATCACAGTTCCTTAGGAGTTGAGTGTTAAATTCAGTCTATATAGCAAGAGAAGAAATTAGGGCCAAAAGTTTCCTTTTAGTATAAATTAATATGATTAAAATTTGATTTTGCAATGTTAGTGTCATCTTTATAGCTTCATATGTTCAGGCACATTCCTGCAGATTCTAGTTTGCACAGTTTCCACAGTTTAATATTTTTTGTCCTTCAAGACAGTTGTTTTCGGTTTTTTATTGGGTGGTTTGGAGGGTTTTTTGTCTCCTTAGAAGGCAGGTGACTTGATTTCAGTCTCTTGTGGGAGAAGTCTTTGTGTGTGTGTGTACAGATATATGGGCAGGAGCACAGAAAAACATGGGGAAAGATTTCATTATCAATGCAAAAAAGATGCCCCTGGTTTCATTGCCAAGCAATGTCATATATTCAGGGACCTTGAGAGAAGCTGTTAAAAAGGAGCTCTGCTTTTGCCTTTATAGTCTTAGGTTAAATCTTTATGGGCATAAGCCGTGGCTAAGTCCTCTTCTGGATGCAAGCTATGAGAGCATGGAGCAAGTACAATTGCTTTCTGTACAGATGACACCCAAATAGTTCGATCGTTAGTTGTCACTATGAGAACTTCCAAGATGCCTGTGAAGATGACACCTTTGGAGACCGAACTACCTGCAATGTGTAAGTCCTTCTTAGCCCGCAGGTGTCATCAGTAGTTTTTCAGCAGTTTATAGTTTGATCAGCCTTTGCATAGATGTCCGCAGAGAGAGCAAAACTAACAACAAAAAAAAATCTGTTGGAAGTATCAGTCCTTGCTTTCAAATAGGGACATGAAAGCTACTTTTAGAAAGTTCTTAGCTTTTGGACATGGGAGAGAAAGCTTATTTATCTCTTGTTATATTCCCAGAAATAGCTAGATCATTTTGATTGAGATTCTACCAGACAAAAAACCCCACAAACAGCAAATCTGAGATAGACATGTCACACAGAAAGCATCAGTTCAAATGGTGGAAGTATTATAAGGTTCTAAGCGATAGAAAACAGGGTGGTGTAATAAGAAACATGAACTGATAGTCGTATGTACATCTGAATTCACCTTCCTGTAGGAAATAGTTAAATTAAAACCTGTAATACCAAGAAATTTTTTTTTTAAATGGCTGAGTTTCTCATCTCTTGTCCTTCTGCTGGTTCAGTGTTAGAATCTCAGAAAAACATTGAAATGGACTGTTTAGTAAGTAGTGATGCAATTTTTGGAGCTATTAAACTTAGTATTATATTTCTAAGCCAATCCTACTTACTACTTGTCTATGAAAATGCGATTATTATAGCATTTCATTGATGAGAATTAATTTGAATTGATCTGAATAACACGTCTGAAGTTGATAAGCAGCGTTATTCTTGTGTAGACTTCAAAACTGAAGTAAGAAGTAGTCAAGGGGTTTGTCAAAAGCACAGAATGAATTAATGCCATAGAGGTGAACAGAATTTTGGGCTTCCGTTTGGTGTGATCAGTCCTTTAGATTACAGTTCTTTTTCAAGCAAAACAGAAGGAAGCCAGTAGACCTTCTTTCTGGTGTACATATCAGTAGGAAATACCAAAAGCAGCGTTGGTTCTGTGTTCTGCTGGCCCGAGTTTCTGTATGACCGTTATGACCTGCATCTCTCTGGTCATAGATCAGCTGCTCTGTCAGCCAACCAGCTGAACAAACCAGGACATTTACCTAGTCTGAGGTCGGTGGAAACCTGTGGATTCTGCTTTATTTTTTGCTTCCAAATGAGGGATGACACTTTAAAAGTACATATTTGCCCTTTTCATACAAATCATGAAGACCAGATATATATCATCAGACCAACACTGAAAAAGCTGGAGAAGACCTACTTTCAAGTTAGGTGAATATAGAACAGTCGGTTGAATGGATCAACATACAATTATTTTAAAATATCTAATATGCTATTTGTTCTCTAGATGCAAAGTTAATATATAAGCTACTATAGTATTAGCTTGATTTTTTTTTTTCTGGAAAAGAGTTGGCTAATCCTGCATCTGTAATTAAGACAGCAGGGGGATGTTTGTATTAGTCTGCTGCAAATATTGAATACAGTGATGTGATTACTTAAAAATCAATACTTTGAAAGCGCTTCACTTTGCTTTCACGCTTTTTCATTGAAAGGTTGTATGCCTTAAGACTACTAGAGAAGCTGTTGGCAGAGGAAAGTCCATTTCTCATCATGGTCTTTATCTTTAGGGCTCTCTTTAATTATTCTCTGGAATTGCAAACTTTGTGATCTGATTGCTTTTAAGGAGAGAAAGTGGACAGAGGATTTTGTTGAGTCATCCATGACTTGACTAGCACGGCTTCTCCAGTGATTTTACTGTTGGGAAGTAGTTTTTAATGCTTTTTCTAGAATATCAGTTTTGATTTTTTTTTCCCCTAAGTTTAGTAACTATGTGCTAACCTTCCTTAATGTGGTAGTTTTAGGTTTGGTTTTTTTTTTTTTTTAATAAGACATGTATTTGTAATGCCAGAACTAGAGTACCTGCTAATGCAGGTTTGTAAGACCGTGTCTTTAGTATTTCCTGCTCTGTTGCAGAATGCATGTTGTTCATCAGGAATGGGATGTCACCTGACACGTACCTTTTCTTTGAAAAGTGTTGCTGTTTTTTCATAGGCAGGTACTTCTTCCTCCTCATTGTATTTTGTAAGACACAAAGACAGACATCAAAGAAAGCTCTGAAAGTCAAACAGAGCTTACATAATTCTGTACTACAGGGAGAAAATCTTTCCTGTATTGGCGTAAGCAGTGTGCACGGCAGAATAGCTGTGGGCAAAGGGGCTATCAAATACCCAGCCAGTCTTGGCTTCATTGTGGATTAGGCCAGTGTAAGCTGACACACCATCTCGATAATCATCACTGTGTGGACACTAAGCTGGAGATGACTTCCCAGCATGATTTCTGCACCTAGACCTGCATGAGAGAAAAGATTGGAAGTGGTGGCTTCCAGTTCCAGCCACGCTTGGGGACTTCGTCCATGTCCCAAGGCTTTCAAGGTGGTTCTTTGTTCTTTTCTGTAAATACTTCTGTGCAGTGCAGAGGGAGTAGTACTGGAGTAGTGCTGGGGTCAGGAGCCAATTATATTTCTATCAAAGAATATGATATTTAGGTTTATAAGTTCTCGTATTCAGATTTCCACCTCCGTCTTGGCTAGAATTCTCTACAGAAGACTGTGGTTAAGATCTGCAACAATCTGCTTAGTTTTAATTTGTTTCAACTGTAGCTGTTACCTTCTTGACAAATTTGGATGTACCTGTTTTAGGTGCTTTCAGAGTATTTTCTCTTTGGTGTCAACTTTACAAACATGCAGGACTCGATGAGAAGCCTTGTCAGCATTTGGCTTTTGTTGCTTGGCCGTACTTCTTAGCTTTCTTTCACAAAAAGATAACTTTTTCCACTGGAAAAGTGCACATAATTAATTTAATCAGATCAATAATGAGCATTGGAAATTAGATTAGGATGGCATTTTTAATAAGGCCCACTTGTGTTATTCAGTGCTGCTCTGGTTACTCAACACTTCCCTCCTCACTTTTTTTTTTTAATTTGTCCTTACATAATAGATTTTCTTACTTCTGTAACATGGAAATGGGCTTTGAAAAAATCACAAGAAAATATGCATTCATTAGTTGACCTACAGCTTTTTCCCCTGGAACATCCAACATTTGATGTTATTAACACTTCCCACAAACATTTGTTTTAATCTCAGGTTTCTTGAGGTTCAAGAATTTAAAAAGTTTCATGTCTGTCATTTTCACAGGATGTGCGTCAACTTATTTAAAGATGAATAAGCTGTTAATAACAAGAAACTGTTAATCTTACAACTCTGCAAAGTCAGCTACTTTCGTTTTATTATTGCCTACTTGGTTAGAGAAGCTTGATGGGTAAAGGAAGGGAGAAATAAAATCCTGACCATTTACAATAGCAATTTCCAATAAGAGCCAATAATCAGCAAAAACTCTCACGTTTACACAGCTCCATAGCATTCTGCATGCCAGTGAACTCCTGAGCTAAGAGAGCATGAGGGAAAAGGAAAGAAAGTTGCTCACCACTCCAGGAACCTCCTTTTCCTTTCCAGAGTAGCACTGATAGTTGTGTACCTTCCTTTCTGTCTCTTGATAGTAAATTATCTGCGTGATCAGATGTAATGGTTCCAGAATTGGATGCAATGGTTCCCTAGCCTTCTCCCAAAGTTTTCCTGATCTCACCAGCTCTGTCATTGTACGTAAGGGTTGGTGTAGCTAATGAGAACAGTAAAAAGAGGCACCTGGTCTGATAAGTAGCTTCCTTTTCCGCTGGAGTGTGCAGTGTCTGGCAGAATCCGTTCCTCTTCCATTCATTAGCTGACCCCTATGCATGCGTTTAGTGCATTTCTTTTCTGTATTTTTTTCTGTACTCAGTCATCATGCTCATCTCAGGAGAAGCTGCACCAGCTGCCCTTTCAGCCCACGGCAGATGAACTTCATTTCCTGACAAAGCATTTCAGTACTGAGAGCATCACTGATGAAGAAGGGCGCCATTCTCCAGCCTTGAGGCCTCGATCTCGCAGTCTCAGGTGAGCTTCAGGTTGTTTATTGACTTTTTAAGATGTTAGGCACATGTATTGCATTTCTATGTGTGCTTTCAGATTTGAGAATAGTCATTTGTAGTTGTTTTGTTACATGTTTTTGTAATTATTTTAATAAACATTTAACCCACCTCACCTAATCAGAAAGGATTTTTTTTTTTTTTTTTACATTTGACACTGAGATTTTGGGTTGCAGAATGGTTGGCATAGTCTGCTTTTGTATTTTCACAATAACTCTATGAAAACATAATCTACAAGCCTCTTGGGCTAAATCTATAGGATGTAGATTTCCATTAGTGCAGTTTCTTCTCAGAATTTTGCTGCATTAATATAAGGAAGTGATTACAGTCACTGTTAAGAAGTTATCCAACATTGCTTCTGAAGGGGTTTGAAAACCAGAGCAGATGAAGTCAAAACCTTGAATGGAATTACACCCTAGAGCAATTTTGTAATAGTGCTGAAAACATTTCTCCTGCATTAACAGTTGAATAATTTTTACTGTTGCTTCAGAGAACTGGTGCTCAAAGATAGCTATCCAGGGGCTATTTCCTTGTGCAGTTGATTTTTCCATACTTAAAACCAGAAGCAACTAGAGCTTCATCTTTCACAAAATTACAGAATGACTGAGGTTGGAAAGGACCTCTGGAGATCATCTTGTCCAAACCCCTGCTCGAGCAGATTGCCCAGGACCATGTGCAGATGACTTTTGAATATCTTCAAGCATGGAGATTCCACAAACTCTCTGTGCAATCTTTCTTGCAAGTCTTTAACAATTATGTGGAATAAATCCACAAATGTTTTGTGTATCGTGGCAGAAGCCTTAGGTTTTGCTATGCATTTAGTGCTGGACCAAGTGAGTGAAAGTCTAGCAATGCATACCTCTAGACACAGCATCTTGTGAAAGAAAAAGGATTTATACAAGCAGGGGACGAGGGGGTGAAGTCTCTCTTCTGTTTCTCAACTGAGTGTGTCAGAGGTCATTATCACATTTAAATTAAAGGACAAGATTCAGAAACTTTGCCAAGTGGAAATACTGAATCAGTGTGCCTAGCTCAGAACCTAGGCCAGGGTTTGTAATAGAAGGAAGTGAAAAGGCCGTGAGAACAAAAAAAAAAATCCATGGTAAGTATCATGTCATGGCAGGACTGACCTTTCATTATTATTTGTAATTATTTGTATGTTCTAAACTTCAGTGCAGGCTGCATGGTAATTGCATATGGATCTACTAAGTGTAGTTACACAGTAATCTACAGGAGCAGGTAAGTTCTGTGGGTAGTAGCACACTTCGCCCATGATTTCCGCAAATTGTCATGTAGTAAAAGACTAGTTACATGATTTGTACTAAGTCTCTTTGAACAATAGTCCTACTTCAGTCCTTTTGCTGTCACTCTTAACAGACTATTGCTGAGTAGTGTAACTGTAGTAGTACTAATTATTTGTAGATAAGACAGCTACTGTAGGTAGACAACACATCACTAAAGTAATTATTGTCCTTTCTAACACAGACGAATTACTGTTGGCATAATGAAGTATAAAAGACTCCTGCTAATGCAAGAATGATGTAAACAATAAAATGAAGAGCCCAATTTTATTTTTTTCCTTGTTAATACGGATTTTCAACTTGCTGAGAATTTTACCTCTGTGAGCCAATTTAAAAGCAGAGTTATCATATAGTAGGTTTATAATTTGTGACAGGACTAGATTAATTCAGTGTTTCATAGAACTATGTGATTAATCTTCTTCCTCTCTTGAATGCTTTTTCTTGCTCTCTCCAGTTTTCAGTGTGATAATAGCCAGCCTTATTGGTATTCTAAAGCCTGGAATGAAGTAATTTAATTTTTTAGACTTACTGTGCCTGATTTGTTTTTCATTTTGCTTATTGCTAGTGCTGTGGTGCTATGTGACTCTAAAGCACCCTTGCCACTGCCAAGCATTCATGCTGGCCCTTGCACCTCAAAGGAAAATTGATATGTCAATCCAACCAATTGGAGCAATGTTTGCAGGAGTAAATACACTCTTTGACAGAGGGTAGCGTGTCCTTGTAAACAAACAAGTACTGAAACATGTGAGTCTCTGCACAGCTTGCCTATTTGTTTGCCCACATGATAGAGTTAGCTCACTTGATGAGATGATGTTTTTACTTACTTAAAAAATCAAAAAATAAAATCTGAGCTGTTAATATACTGAAAATCAAGCAGGAATTTCCTAAAAATGTAATATTTTCACAGTCATTTAATGATCTTGTTTGATCAGCTTTAATGAAAAGCAGATGAACAAAATACATCAGACATTTTCCTTAAATGTCAGTCACAGCTTTGTAGTTCAAAAGATGGTCTGATATTTATGACTGATTGTTAACATGTATTAATTTTTCATCCTTTATGACTGCAGCCTTACATCTCGTTTTATGAGAGAGGAACTGGTATTTTGAGATGTCACTGTCAAATACTGGGACTGTTGTTTCTGAGAGTCTCTGTAACTCAAGATTTTTTAGAAGTGTCAGATGGTCCTTTTATGCTCCTAGATACAGGAATGGCTAGATGTAACTTTTGCAAAAATCTACTGCTTCGACTAGAAATTTACTGTTTTCTTGTATCTAGCTGCAAATGTTCTATTCATACAGAGCAGTCTTAATGATCAAAATGGATGAAAAAAGTAACAATGTGTACAGTCACGGAGGGTAGCGTTGGCTGATGTACCATTAGTAGCACCTCTGTTGTTTGACGTGTTCTGCCAGTGAGGCTTGAGGATACTCATCACTTAGCTAATCAAGTCTTATTTGAAATCTTCTGAATTTCTATGCACTGATTCTTTCCCAGCTGCTTTCCTGTTCAGGGGAAAGGAGGTAGCCTTAGACCAACACTGCAATGCAAAAGTGTGACTTGCCTATAAAGCTGGTTGGTAAAGCCAGGAGGCTGTTCTCTCATCCGTCTCCAATAGATCCGATACTCACATGCTAAACGAAAGAACATGTTTCCATGTGACCCACCTGTTTTGGTACTTACAGTGTGTCTTCAGTAGAAAAGAATATTTCTTTATTACCTGCAGAAATAGTTTCTATATATCATCTCTGAACTGTTCTTTTTTCTTTGTAATGCAGCCTTCAAATCCTTCAAGTTCTTGGCTAACAGAGAGATGCCCAGGCTACCTTCACTTTATTTGGAGCAATCCTGGGCTTTACCTCAAGATCTTTTCTCCCAGGAGTGAAAAGCATGGAGAGTGTGAATTCTTGTACTAAACTTGACATCGTTACTCTTTTAAAGTTACAGAGATGTTACCCTCCATCTTTTCCCAGTTCTCTTTACTTGTCATCCTTTAGCAGTTGCTAACACGTGGGAATGTGTGGAGAATGTCAGAGATAAAAGTAGAGTTAACTAATAACGACTTCTTCAAGAGCTGCCTTTGTGCAGTCACTCAGCCCACCAATCTGCCCATTTTTCTTGATCTCTTTTCGTATTTCAGGATAATGTTGTCTAGGGAAAAAGGGTTGAAGTTTGTAGCAGTGAATTTTTATGTAGTTGAAGTAGATGAGATCATCCTTAATCAAATATGTGCCTTCATCTCTTTGCTGAGTAGTGGTTTTTAAATGCAGTCCTCCAACCTGACTTTTGACATGCTAGATCCTGCCATTAAGAATATACAAAGACAGCTCCTAGAAAATGCCAGTTGCCAAAAAAGAAGCTTTTGACCATAAAATGCTCAAGATGGGAAGAAGGAATAGGTGTTGTGAAACCACACCGGTGGCCCACAGAGTCCATTTTTATCTTAAAAATTGATCCTGCAGGTTATGGAACTTTCTCTTCTCGCTGCACTTAAGCGTCAGCTTTAACCACTTGAGTAATTTTGGTGGTTTCATCACTTCATGCCTCTGCTTTCAGAGAGTGCCGTCTGCCACAAGCTGCAGAGGAGCAGGCGGTGCTCCCTGCAGAGCGGAGGTTCACACAGGCATGGATTCACTAGATATGGATAATAATTTTATATTCTGAAGCATAAGGCATCTAATTCTTATGAAAATACATTCTAACTACATTACAGATAATGTTGGACTCAGTTTTCTCTCTCAAGACAGTGAGTTTTGTGAACTTGATTTTAAAAAGTTCTTCAAAGTGATTGTTTTAAATTTATTAACTTTTGGTTTCATTTGTCATCTTTATGATTTTCTATTGTGTGTAAAACTGGGTGTTCTTATTTGCCCTCTGTGCTGCTCACTACTGTAACTTTCTAGTGTTTTCTGTCTGAAGCAGTACCGGTCTTTGTTGGCATCCATTAAAAAACCTGAAGTATTGGAAGGAGATAGTTGCAGCCTCTGTGTAAGTCTGTAGAAAAAACTCATTAGTGCTTACTTTCAAGGAGATTGCAGTTGGAATATATTCCCTTTCCCTTAATGTTTTCTCATATATATACATATATAATAATTATTATTTTATTAATAATTATAAATATTTTTAAACCCCTTACATTTATAATAATGTCACTCCTAGTATAAATAAGGGCTTGTGGAAAAGAGTTAAGTGATAAAAACCCAATCACAAGTAGTATTTGTCTGCAGACTAAACGTAGCGGAAGCTCAGTGTTTGTAAAAATGAATAAAAAAAAATCAAAAAGTATGTAAGCAGCTCAGAAATTACTTTTCAAAGCTCTCAATAAGAAAGAATCTTACTGTTCTGTTTTACTGCTTGCCTGTTCCATAAGAAGAATTACTTTATTTCATTCTGCTGCTTTGCCTCAGGTTCCCTTTTTTCTAGCAGCACTAGAATTAACTGCTTGGTGTGAACTTACCGTGCTGTTAGGTTATGATTCTGCTGGAAGAAGGATTCTTGAATAAATACTGAAAAATAATCTAAAGTTAAACGCTTAATTTTCTACATTTCCTCCATGATGCAGATTGTTGTAATTCTGTGGGAAACTATTTCACTATTATCGTGCATGTTGCATAAATTCAGAGTTTAGCAGATGGATTCTGCTCTACTGAGGCCAGTTCTGCTTTGATCATTGTCCTGTCCAGAAACAAGATCAGGTCCCAAGGTTTAGTTGTTGTGGCCTGTGTGAAGCACTGAGTCATATTTGCTCTCAAGTTTGACAGACAGATGGAGATTTTCCTTATTTGCTTCTGCTTTATTGTATCTTTTTTCAAGGGGACTTTTCTGACTTACTGCTAGTATTAATGTAATTTGTATGAGGTCAAAGATTTATACATTTATTTCTTGAGGGAAGAGGAAGGCTGATGCACTGCTCACCTTCAGCAGAAGGTTTAACTTAGTTTCTACTTCATACAACTTTGACTCTCTAGTTTTAAAATTCTTTATTTTGTGTGTCTGGAAATGACAGAAAATTAAAGCCTCTGGTTTTAATTATCCTGTGGACGCTGACTTTGATAACGTGCTGTAAGTATGTCCTAATTAAACCTTCATGTGTGGGGTAAAACAGAGAAGAGTACAGAGTGCTTTTAGCTTCTCTGCATTTGCCTAATAAATACAGCTGTCACAGTGAAGGAAAAATTAGATATTCATAAACATCTCAGTTTTATTTAGTCACAGTTAAACTAGATTTTGTAAGATTTAATTTATTACTATAAATGCTACTCCTTGAAATAGCTGTCTATAAGCTATTTTCACTGTCTAACATCAGATAGAGACACATGAGTTTTGACAAGTTGAAGGCTAGAAACCTTTGCGGGAGATAGGTGTCACTGAAAGTCTGGCACCACGTCGTTTCATGAAGTGGAGGGAGGGTGAAGAAGGGGAGAAGAGAGAGGAGTTTTTCATTCTGCTGTTAAGCTTAAGGGGACAGATATTCTTCTAATGTCTGCTCTGCTGAGATGAAAAACTCACTGACAACAATAATTTCTTTGACCTACCTATCTACACCAAAAAAAGGGAAGCAGCCTGCTTTTTGTCTTAAAACATTATGCATGTGCACAGTACATGTCCTCTGTTTTACAGAAAATAATGCGTTCCTTTGTGAGCCTCGAAGTGTTAGACTGGTTTAGTTCTGTATGTGAAATTTTTGATACCAGGTAGACGTGTGAAGCTTTAGCATTTGAAAAGCTGTCATGCCAATAAAATATATTAAACCTTTTTTTTTCTTTTTTCTAAATTTTCTTACATTCTCCTTTGGTGGAATTCAGTTTGGTTTCTTTTTCACCTGATTGTGTCTCAGAGGTGCCGTAAAGTAACCAGCAGTGCCTGGCAGCTAGCCTTTGGTTAGTTAGTCAGTTATGCATCTAATTATTTCTGTAGTTTCCCAGGCTAAGCATCAATGTAAAAAATTATGGTGCAGTATATTATGTCGCAGTCTTGCTATAGTCAGCTAGACGTTTAATTCGACCTGTTATATTGAGCAAATTTTATTTCGAATGAGAATTTGAACCATGATCCCACATTTTATCCAGAGTTGTTTAGATGCTCTGTTGGTTTAGGTGGTAAAAAGTGGCAGTAATCACCTTCCGAAGATGAGAGACAAAACTGCCAGTGCCCAAGGAAGCTAAGGAAGCTAAGGGATGAAGGGATTACCCTTTTGCCAACCCTAGACTCTTGTGCAAAGAGATTACTTTGTTTCAGAATTGTGTAAAAAAAAAAAAAAAAAAAAGAAAAAAAGAAAACCCTATAAACTCACATATCATTGTGGCTCTCCTTAAGGAAACACCACGTCTGCTGGCAGGACAGCTCCAGTAGCATGATTTCTGCATCGCTCTCCATTTCCTGTATCCATATGAATAAAGTGCCTTGAAAGTCAAAGGCAAAACCCCTCGCGTGTTATTGTAGCCTTAAGACAGCGAATACTTAAGCATGCACAAATTTTAGTAGGACTGCTGTAGTGTTAAAATGAAATATGTATGTGCCTCCATATTTCTCTAGTCAGTATCAAAGGGCTTAATATATTTTTGTAACTTACACCTCACTTAAATCACACAGAGAATTAATACATTACAGAAAAATAAATTCTTCAATAACTATGTTCACCAAGTTCTTCAGCTCCATATGAACTGCCAGTAAACAACTGTCATGTGTTTGTGTCAGTGTGTTTAGTTTTAGATAAGAAAGGATAAAGATAGCAGGCTACATGTGGGAGAGAATTTGCTTCTAAGTCTGCACTTGAACTGTTCTTATCCTTCTTTTTATTATGAATATAAATGTAAGTTTCTCTTTTAAGAAAATTTTCCTTGATTAAAAATAGCTATCTACCAAGCTAAGGGATATGTTTTCTTCAAAAAGAGTTGATGAAAATGTGTTTTTACTTGGTATCCAAAACATCCAGATCAGTTTTTCTCCTTTAACATAAGGATTCAGTGAGAGATTTAATCTGAAGTGCATTTTCTTAAACTGAGGGGTGAACCTTAATAAAAACAAGACACAATGTAATTCATGGAATTCCAGTGCCAGGCAGGAAAATAAATTGGTATTGCTATATTCTGTGAGCCAGTGAGTTAAATTTTCTTTGAATTGTAAATATATATTCCCAAAAGAATGTTTTTTGCTTTAAATAGGTTATCAGCAAGGTAGTAACTGTAACACATTCCAAGTTTAAAATGCATTTATTCCATTTAGAGATAATAATTTCATCCTTCATATGAAATTTTAAAATGTTTGAACTCATTCAAGATAAAATTGTGGGTTTTGACATAGAGAAAATATTTTTAGCAACATGTAGTACTCTTAAAATCATAAAGCCAATGATCATGTAAGATGCCAAACAATTGAAACCCTTGCTTGTCTCGAACATTAAAACAAGGTAACCAGAGAAATGAGATGCTGTAGGCGATCCTGGAGCTAGGGATTATCTGCATTACCTCACTCCAGCTGTCCTCGGTGGCAGAATGAGTCAGAGCATGGCATACCATCAGATGTGATGAAATGAGATGCAACTCTTCTTCAAAAAAAAATATACCCAAACAGTAATATAAATGCAGTTTGTCAAGATTTAGTGTCCTGTTTTTTGGTGTGCCTTGAAGTTGCTTGCTAACCTATGCATACATGCATATGCATCCGTGGTGTAACACGCCTCAAGGGAGCGCAGTTTTCGTAAAAGTATTCTGTTCCTATTGCTTGTGGTATTTATATGTAAGATTTAACACTGCTCATGCAGCATTCCTGTAGCGTGGTATTCTTCAGACAAAGGAAAACAAGTCATCTCAAGTTCCTTGTTTCTTTTTGCTCTACTCTTTTCCAGCACTAGAAACTCCAGAGATAATGGTGATTTCTTCCTGGGCAGGGCTGCTGCCACTGCCGTGGAGGGCAGTAAGAGAGTGAGGGAAATAACAGATGTACCTGCAACAAATGCACTGCTTTTTTACGTGCTTGTATGTCAGGGCTTGCATTTGCTGAAAATAGGTGGGTTTCTTCCTGCACTCATGTGAAGACAGGAGTGTTGGCAGTTTTCAGATGGGTTAACTGTGAGAGCCGCAAATTGCCATTGCTTGCCCGGATTTTCTCTGAAGTTAAGCATCTTCCTGTTACTGAAATGAAGTCAAAGCTTTGGAAGGGCTACAGTCAGTGTGGCAGCATTATGACCAGCATTGGATTTTGGAGGATTTTGATGTGATATCTGTAAATGATAATATACTTTCTTTTTTCCTCTAGCCCGGGTCGCTCCCCAATTTCCTTTGACAGTGAAATAATAATGATGAATCATGTGTACAAAGAAAGATTTCCAAAGGTAAGGAATCACTTTTTTGAATAGTGCATTCAATGAACTTGTGTCCAAACTCAGAATTAATTTGTACTCATTGGAGAAGGAGCCCAGCTCTTACCTCTGGTTTCCAAGCAGTGCAGTTTGCTGAGAGTTTGAAGCTGCCTTCCCTGCTTCACATGTTAATTCTGAGTAGAAGAAATAGAAAAGCTTTGTGTATTTATGTATGTACATCATATTTACTAAATTTCTCATGTCTTTTATTAGCATGACAAATGCTCGCAGGAATGAGAAGAGCCATGCTCTGACTGCTCAGTCCATTTATTTTGTTTATGAGGCCAGTGTCTCCATCTATTTTTAACTAATCCTTGTCTTTTTCTTTAAATTCTGAATCAGATAAACACTGGAAGAGGGATGTTTTGCTTAGTTTTATATATACTTAAAAAAGCTATTTTAAAGTAATTTAAAATTATGTTGAATAATATTCTCTCATTATTCCCTTGTATAACTGCATTAAATTTACTTTATACTGATCCAAACTTCTTTGGTTTTGGTAGGCTTTCCATTTACATATTGGAAATGCAAAGTTTTCTTTTAAAGTAGTTCCAAATTATACTGGGGGTTTTGGCAAAAAACAAGTTTGCCACTGGGGCTTTTGGTACCAGAGAAGCAATGAAGATAGATTTGGATTTTTAGAAAAGTCAATCTGAATTCAATCACGCTGAAATGTGCTGAAGTGATTTGCAGTGAAAATAAGTGTGTTTTTTTTTAAAAAAGCTGAACATGGAAATCTGTGGAATCAAGCCTTTGAACTGAGTGTGAGAAGATCGTGTGTCCCAGACCTGTCGATATGGCCATTCCTTCCTGGTTTACCAATAGCAAAACTAGATGTTTCTCTGGAGACAGGATATCAGTGCTTATAGTGATAGAAATGCTGTGTGTCTGTTGCTTGGCGCAGTGATTTTCAGGTTCCATGGTCTTGCCTAAAAGTTCTGAAAACTGCCACATACCTTACATCCTTGCTCTGGAGACCCAGGGAGGAATATAGCCTCGAGACCAGGATATTTTTGTAGTCATTTGCATTTTCAGAAAGTGTGTTCCGACTAATTTTTGTTGTTTGCTCATGTGAACATAACTTTTGCCTATGGTATACTATTTTTATTCTCAGCAAAATGCTGAAATTGGTATTTTGGAATATTTTTTAAGCCTCATGCATTTTAGAATTAAGAATATATTACTTTAGCACCCTACTTGTTTATGTGTAAGTTCTGGGATAGTAAAATTTAAGAGTAATTTCTGTTTATTCTTTGCTCTTAGGCCACGGCACAGATGGAAGAACGGCTGGCTGAGTTTATTGCCTCTAATGCTCCAGAGAACGTGCTGCAATTAGCAGATGGGGTCCTAAGTTTCATTCATCATCAAGTTATTGAACTGGCCAGAGATTGCCTAGATAAATCACGTGAAGGTCTTATTACTTCTCGGTACTTTTATGAGCTGCAGGAAAACTTGGAGAAACTTCTCCAGGATGTAAGTGCTCTCTGGAAAATAGAATATGTTATTTTGATTGAAACTTTAAACAATAAGCCAGAGCTTTGATTTTAGGAGAGACGATGTGGATTGCAGGAGAAGGGCAGTGGGTGGGGGTGTCAGGAGATCTGAGCTGTTCCAATCTGATGTTGATCTACCGTGGGTGAATTTGAGCAAATCACTTCACCTGTGTACTTCATTTGTACAAAAGTTAAATATGCATATGAGTAAGTCAAAGGCAGTCTTTATCATTTATGAAAATTGAGTTCATCCAGATGAAGGGAATTACTGAACTTTTCTTTCATGTACTTCAAGACTCTGAATGACTTATTAATTACAATAGTGCCTTCAAGGAGTGAAAACACCATAGTTTGTAGTGTTGCTATAAATTTTTCATAAAAGACTTTCTCTAGCTGAACTTAATCCACTTGTGGGTTTTTTAGTACTTCGATGTGTTTTGTGGTGTTCAAAGCATATGAAAATACACAAGGGGGCACAATTTTAATGCATGCTCAGTATGCTTCAGCTGCTCATTAAAAATTGCTCTTTTCCTTTAAAATGAAAATAATATTAAATTAAAAACGTCTCTTAGAATTTATGCTGTAGCTGTTGTGAAGAGTCAGTGCTCCTACTAGTTGCTGGGTCCAGACCTCTTTTTGGGAATGTCTTCCTAATCCTCTGCTTTGATATAAGGGATAGCAGGCTGAAAACACAGAATTTATAAAGATCACAGTCTCAGATAACAAATATTATAGAGACACCTAGAAACAGAACACCTGAAATAATTTTTCTGTGTTGCTTTTTAATCTACTTGGTGAAGATGTGTTTATACGTCATTGATCAGTTTGCCAGCCCACTGACGTGAATTGCACTAGTTTGTGCTCCTTTGCCACGCCTTCCAGACATTAGAAAATGGCAGATGAATAAAAATACTATATTAAGATACAATTATTGTATCAAAAAACTTTGTGAAAACTGCAAGATCTTCTCTTGTATCAGCTAAAAACTTTGGCTACCTGTGTTATATGAACGTGGCTGTAATTTCCCTGATATTTTGTTATGCATGGGAGAAAAATGACTCATGTTTGGTTTTGTGGTGTTCTGCCTGGATGGGGAATATAATTTTGACAGAGAGAAAGGGAATATATTTCCAGAGCCTATATGGTTGTCTGCCTATGGAATATCAGTAACCACTGTGGATGCATTTAATAGTAAAAATGTGTTTCCTGGTAAAAGTGGTGTTCTTTGGATGCCATGCAAGGGTTTGACCATTGATGCTACCATCCAGGGCTGGAGAAACTGCATCTCATCAAAGAAATTGTTCAGTATTTGTAGTCTTTAAAAAAAAGGAAAACATTTCTGGAGTTTGAAAGCGGCAGCGTAGCCTTCCTGGGCAGGATAAGCGTCACCCAGCCCTTACTGCCAGACCTGGCGACGGCTGGCCGCGGGTGGGCAGGTGGGTGGGCAGTCCTGGGGCATGGGGCAGGCACCGTGGCGCTGCTGGTGCGAAGGGTGGATGGAGAGATTTCCTGCAGCCAGGTGAGCACGTTTCAGCGGGTCCGCCTTCTACCTCCGGAGTCTGGAAGCAGGGTATTTGCACACGTCAGCTATGAAATAAGGGATCAGGCCTCTTTGGATGACGGTTTGGAAGTTGAAAAGATTTTACTAAAAGCGGATGCATGTGCTCGGTAAAATGGCTGGCATTTCAAGTGGCACAAGGGGACTACAGTGTGTTTTACTGCTTGCGATAGCAGGTACTTGGAGCTTGAAATTCTCTCACTCCCAGGCTTTCCTCCTCTGTGTGTGGACAATGATTTCTCATACCGTGAGGAATTGAGAGAGCAATAAATTGGGTCTGGCCACTTCCAGTCTGTACTTTCTGGCCTGAAGAGGTTAATCAGGATCTCGGAGAAGGTGTGGGTCAGATAAATCTACTTTTTCCTTTCCTCTCCCCTCCTTCAGAACAGATCTTCAAAATATACATCTTAAATGTCCTTTTCCCCTTGATCCTGCATGCATTACACTGCTGCTCCTAAGCACAGGGAAAGATGACATTGAACTGTTATTGGAGAAGAACAATGGTCATCTCTGGGCTTATTCAGGAATTGACATTCAACGCTTACTTTGACCTCTTCCTCCTTGACATCTTCTGCAGAGTGGGGGTGAGAGAAGAGTCAGCTCTTAAGTTTAATTGATTTACTTTAGGAAGTGAGGTGGGCTATAGACTGTTAAGGGGAAGGCTTAGAGAGACAAGGGAGGCAGAACAGACCTGGAAGGAAGAGGACAAAGAAATTAAGGACAGCAGAGGAATGCCAAAGACTTAATTCCACATCTTTCTCATTTGTTTTTTCTGTCCTATCATAGTTCCTTGGCTTCTCTTTTATATTTTAATATTTAAAAGCTACTTCTTTTCCCCTGCTTGCCAGTCTGCTTTGCCCTTCAGCCTGCATTCTAGAAGGAAATAATTGGGACGTTTCAGTCTAAATATACAGAAATTGGTGATAGTATTTCTTTTGGAAGACTTGCCCGAAATACAAAAGTTTGGAGTCAAGTTTAGATTATTCCAAATTTTAGGGCAGGGTCATTACCTTTGCTTAGCTTGTTAGGTATCACACAAAGTTACACACTATATAAATAACACCAACTGCAAGGTCATCAGAAAGGCTCTTCCACTTGGCAGTTGTATGGTCTGTGCAGTAGGATGTATAGTTTTATGATATATTTTTATAACATATAGAAAGATAGGCAAGATGATTTATTGGTGAATAAGGAGGTCAGCAAGTGGTAGGAATACCCACAAATTTTCATACAGTTTTACTGTGAAAGAATGGATTGTCTTGAAATTCCTTTTTGAGGTGTCAGTTCTAACACGTGGTAACAAACTAAACTCATGCAGTATTTCAAACCATAGAAAGGAAACTTGATTTAATATGTTGCAGTTTGAGTCTACTTTATATTGTAAAAATATATCTGTAAAACAGAGTAATTTGATATGTAAATAATGAGCTGTTTAAATATACCAAACCAGAAAGCTTTTAAAAGTTTTTAGATCCTGGCTTTTGTAATAAAATGCCAACAAATCTCATTAGTTATGGCAAATGAGATCTTCTCCCTTGTTTGCAGCATGAAATACTGTCTTTTAGCCAGAAAAACCTATCGCTTATTGCATCATGGAAATTACCCTGAATTAAAAATGAATTTTCTTTATTTTGGAAAACATGAACTCGAATGTCACACTTCATACTTAAAGTAAAAATATTGAAAAATAAGATGAAGCACTTATAAAAAGGAATATATGAGATTCAACTCCTAATCTCTTACTGTGGGATGAGCTTAGAGGATGGGATAGGACCTCAGGTTACTGGGGAAAAAAGGTTATAGTCAGTTATTACTGGGCTGAATTGACGAGGTAAAACTAGCCAAAAGAAATTTAATGGCTTTCGCGTAGGTGTAGCCAATTGGTGAGGAAGGTGAAGGATTACAGGTGTTTCTGTGCATGGAACAAAAGCAGCAGAGGAGGGTATTAGTGTTATACGGCGCTGACTGATGCTGCACGTTGGCCGATGGATATTCTGATTGGGATCGCTTTCTTAATACGAGCCCGAGCGTAAATTTATTGGTTCTTGGCATTGCAGGTCTATTGTTTTGGTTTCCATCAGTATATTAGCTCAATTACAGCATTGTGACTTGCATATCCCATTTTCTGAACCCCAGGGGAGGACAGTGATTTTAATTTCATGCCCCAGTAGCTACAGTTAGTGACGGATGGGTCTTTCAGATAAGGCAATCGGTTTGTAAATTACCCGTTGCTACCTCCTGTACGCGTGTCACTGGCAATGTGTGTAGGAATGGCATCAGCCTCTACCCACAACCCCTATAGCTTCTCCCTCCTCCCCGTGGGAGACCATGGGGGGGAAAACCCTGAAATGCCACCAGCAGCAACCTTCAGACAAGCGTGTCGTCATTGGGAACTGCTAATTAGATGGCACGGCTCGTACCGTATAACCCGCCGGTTCCCAGATACTGTCCCCGGGACAGATTGTACATGAGACCTCTGTAGGGATGTCCGGGCTGTCCTGCGCAAGAAGGAAACAAGAAGAGGCAGTTTTACTGAGGATTTTGGAAGAGCAGCGCTGTGCAGAGATGATGGCTGAGTGGCTGTTACAAGTTGTGTTTGATTTTTGTAATCTTTTTTTCTTTTTTAACCCGCCGGTTCCCAGATACTGTCCCCGGGACAGATTGTACATGAGACCTCTGTAGGGATGTCCGGGCTGTCCTGCGCAAGAAGGAAACAAGAAGAGGCAGTTTTACTGAGGATTTTGGAAGAGCAGCGCTGTGCAGAGATGATGGCTGAGTGGCTGTTACAAGTTGTGTTTGATTTTTGTAATCTTTTTTTCTTTTTTTTTCCCTTTTGCTTTTCTGAATCGTTTGGCAGTCATGGTCTAGCTTTTCATTTTCAAAACAGACACCTGATTAAATTAGTTACGTTTTTAAATTATTTTGCCGAAATTGTCATAGATGAGAAAAGGAGAAAACAAAAGGACTTGATTTAAAAGAATAAGTTTGCTTTAACAGTATAAACGGAGACAAAATGATGAATTATATATATTATATTATATTTCTCGCATAATATAAGATGTAGGGGAGAAAGGACTTTCCAATTGCATGGCTCATATTTCGAATAATACATGGTTGTTGATGTTTTATTTATTCATTTCAACACAGCTAACCCCTGGTGATCTGGAATGGCTTTTCAAATATGAAAGCATTAATTTCTTTCTAGTAGTCATATTTTAACTTACAAGTTTGCGTAATGCATTAGGGGACACAGAGTGAATACTAATCATCCTAATTTTGATTATTTTCTGATTTGTAATTAGAAAATGCCTTTTAATTGCAACTTATTTCAATGCTTTCAAAATAATCTTCTTTTTAAGGCTCTATAGCTGGGAAGCGTCTCTGATACTGTTTTTAGATGATGTACTAGCAGGTACATTGTTTTCTTCAAGATTAAAATTCTAGCCCTAGCTTATCACTTAACAGTGCTGATGTAGACAATCAACATTTCTTATTCTGACCTGTGTCAAAATGAGAAATAGTGAACTTTTACAATTTTTTTGTTTGGTAACAAATTATCAGGGGTATATTATTTAAAACGCTCCCTATATATTTCTATCTCTGAATTTCTGCTTCCTGTGTTTTTATTCTTTTAGGTGATCACCAGCGTGATTTGACTTCTCACCCATATATGTCTTTTTCTTAGATGGTGTTAATGAACAATGCTAAATGAATCTTTTCGTTTATTGCTACTTGCATCCTTGTTGATAAAATATCATTCCTATAAGCAACTGGCTCATTGCCAGCATAAGCTTATTGGTTAAGTTCTGGACTTCACATTTGTGGCTGTGCTAAAGCCTAATTTTTTTCCTTGGGGAAAAGATAGCTATACTTTGTGTCGGAGTTTTTACATATCATTGGAACCATCTTTTTATCACCCTGCAATGAAATACTATTTTGTTTGTGCCTCAGGAATCGTAATGTAACCATTGTGTGCTTGAGCAAAAGCAGAGTAATTTGGGGGGGTTTGTTCAAATTTGTCTTTGTGGTTTTTTTTAATTTTGTTTTATTTTTTTAAAATTATAGCTTTAGTATGTTTATTGTTATAAAAAGACACCCGCTCACACACACATACACCTTGAAACCCAGCCTTGAATTTATACTGAAATCTGGTAAAGTAAAGGGAGTGGACAAGAATAAATTCTCTGAATTAAATAAGTTTCTATATGCTCTTTGCTTCGCCTGTCTGGTCCGACATAGCCTACAATTCAATTTTTTTAGCAGGATTTCTAAAATTAAATAAAGAGAAACTAAAGTTTAGTTTTTCTTGATGATGAACAGAAGTAATTTAAATTCTAGCTGAAAGTAAAGCCCAGAAATATGTGTGGCTGTTAGTAATTATCTAGATGTCAGTATTGTGTGGAAGGTAAAATTGAAAAAAAGTCAGTATTCCTATTTTCATTTTTAAAAATAAAATAAACCCACATTGAATCTAATATAATTGATAGATGATATAATGCATAGGAAGCCTTTGAAATATCCCTTGCATGATAAAAGGAGTCAGTTGTAATGGAAAAGCTGTATGTAACTTGGCCTGACTCAGTCATGCCTTTGCTGCCCAATTACAGTTACTGAGCTGTTGGTTGCTCTGCCTTCAGCATCTGACATATAAAAATGAGAAGTTCACTGCTAGGACCATAATGGGATGTTCTGCTCTCCACAGGCCCACGAGCGATCCGAGAGCTCCGAGGTTGCCTTTGTTACCCAACTTGTGAAGAAGCTGATGATTATCATTGCACGACCAGCTCGGCTGCTTGAGTGCCTGGTAGGTTTGGTCCTTGGGATACTGCATGTATGATCTAAATAGTCTAGTGTGGGTTTGAGGAGATAAGGAACACAAAGCCTTCAAGAGAAAGCTTTAAATTCTCATTAAAATAGTGAAAAAAAATCAGTATTTTAAAAAAAGAAACACCAAATGTCTTTTATGTTAATATAGAAGTATCTTTCCAATGGACTGTCAACTGCAAGAGCAGCTAAACTATATTTTCGTATAAAGTTTATGGCTGAGGGTCCAGATGTAGCTGTTGACATCATTTCATGCTTCTTGGTGCCACCTGATTTCCTCATGTTGTTAATAGCTACAATAAAGAGCCTGTAAATGTGTGGTGTGTGTACGTTGCCTGGAGAGCCATGCTAAGAAAGAACTGTCACTGAAGAAGAAATTCCCCTCCATGATGTAAATGATGTTTGGGCTTTTGGACTCAAACTCTTACCAGAGACCCAGCAATTACAGAGAAACTTGGTGTCAGGTTTTCCAGCTGTGAACAGTGAGAGATCCAAGCAGGTTTGGAAGCCTGGGTCTGAAATCCTATTTGGTGCTATTAGAATACATGGCAAAGCAAGTCTTTTTGCTTTTTTAACAACTCACTCTGGCAAATAAGAATATATTTTTTTTATTTCATTCTAGAAAATGGTGAAAAGTGTTTAGGCCACCGCAACGAAATAGGCCACTGCGTCCTAAAGTTCTGCAGCTCCAAAAATACCTTGTAGCTACAGGGGAGGAAAATCCTATTTGGTGCTATTAGAATACATGGCAAAGCAAGTCTTTTTGCTTTTTTAACAACTCACTCTGGCAAATAAGAATATATTTTTTTTATTTCATTCTAGAAAATGGTGAAAAGTGTTTAGGCCACCGCAACGAAATAGGCCACTGCGTCCTAAAGTTCTGCAGCTCCAAAAATACCTTGTAGCTACAGGGGAGGAGTGGTGGCTACAGGGGGGGAGGGGTGGGGAACAGGGGTTTGGGGGGTATTGGGTT